CCGCAGCAGCCCGCGGGAGTTGAGCTGCGATAAGACTTGTTTTTAGTGGCGTTACGTGTCTTTTTGAAGTGATTAGCAGGACATATATCCCATGCTCGCCTAGGCTCCGGAGCCGCGGTGTTGTGGATCGGTTTCCCCTCAGGCACAGCGTGGCGTTCGGGGCCGCGTAAAATGGCTGCCAGGGGAAGATGCCGGCTCCAATGAAAGGGGAAGCATTGACTTGGTGACTCCTCCACAGCTTTGTTGATTACGAAACATCTTGATTTTTTTGAAGGGCAAAATCCCCGTTGGGGTGGGCAGGGCCGCGGCCCGGCGGGGGCGGGAGGGGACGGAGGGAGCGCTTTCGTTTGCCCCGTCCCTTCCCGTTAGTCAGCTGACGCCGGGGGCTGAGGGCGTCCTCCTTCATCGCTAAAAGCCTGGGCAAGACCAGCTTTGCCAGGGGTACATTTGCTCCTGCTTTTAGTCATATGCATTAAGTGCAAGTGAAACACAAAATGTTCAGAAACACTGAAGAACTTGGATCAGTTGTTGCACTTAATTTAAAAGCGAGGATAAATGCTCCTTTTTCCTATGTTTGCAATAATACATACATTTGACAATTTCAGCAAGTGTTTCAACGAGATTTTTTTTTCCAGGAGTAGCTCTTCTTAGAACTTTTAATGTGGAGTTACCTTCAAATTTTGAATCTATGCATACTTTGTTCTCAAACATATGTGTTGGTGAGGCATTAAAGAAAAGACTGTTAAATATATTTGGGGAACATACCTGTATGTACATTTATAGATATGTTTATATTTGCAATGTTGTTACAAGTCCCAAAGTTCAGCAGAGGATGAAAGCCAGGGCAGAATCAAAATTCTGTGAGAAATTGAGTTTCCATAGGTTTTATGTCTCACACAGATTTACTGCATTTACTGCATGGGGTTTTGCAACATTTATATTGGCTTTATATTGGATGGGTCTACCCCACAAACACTCCCCTGCTTCCTGAGTCTCTATTCTCTTAAATTCTCCCCAGCGAATTAATCACTCCCAAAGTGATTAATGGGTACTGATGCCTTGGCTGCCGCGTTTGTTTCCTCCAGATATTCATAAAGCACTCAGACATCCTCCGGCATTCAAGTTTAGTAAAAAGCCTTGAGCTGTGGGAGCCATCTGACTCGAGAAATGATGGAGGGGGCTGGCACAAAGCTGCTGATCCTGCTCCTGCTAGACTGACTCAGATGATGTTCTCTGGAGGCCAGAAGAGACGAGCTGGAGCAGAGGGTAGCAGGGAAGACATGTCTGCGTCAGCCACAGCTCATATCTGTATCTGCCCTGCGTGCCAGCACGTTGATAGCCACAGGCACCGGGGTCCCCTTTGTGGGGAGCTGCGCAGCATTTTCTGTAAGAAAACCAGGGATGCTCTCCTGCTGCAAAGAGAAGGCTACAGCTGCAGCACGTACTTTTTTCCCTGTTGCTAAGGTAACACATATCACACCCACACTGGCCTAGAAGCAAAACAGCGCACATGGGAAATTTCGGAGGGCCAGGAGCCTTGTGTGGGAGAGCACTGCTGTCTCAGGTGCTGCTGCCTCCTGTACTACCAAGCCAAGTCTCACAAATCCCTCAAAGATAACTCTTTGCACGCAGTTTCCCTGATGGTGTTGGAGGTTTCTGTGCCATCCAGCTAAGTGTTCTCCTGAAATACTTTGTCTTGTAATGCTCTGCCTTCTGCTGCCGAGAAATGTCTGCAATGCCTCTGCTTGCTGATGGCTTTGGGCAGCAGGACTGTGCAGAACAAGACAGTTCGGATGCCCACTGAAACAAAGGTTGGGCAGCTCTGCTTTCTGTTCTGAACCAGGAACACAGAGCAACCCCTGCTGTAATACCAGAGCTGCATGCTTTTAACCACTTCCTAACATCACTCTTGTTTTGCCCAGCAGTACATGGTGTAGAAGCTCACAGAGAAACACATCTCAGCAGCTGTGAAAAGCACAGTTGCTGTTGCAACACTGTGTTTAAATCCAAGTGCTCCAAAAGTGAGAGGTCATATATTTTGAAAACTGTCTGAGTCTCTCATTCATGACTTTCAAGGCACACTTCTGGTCTTTAAATCAGGCAACTTGTTTTATTACCCTCAGTAGGCATGGATCTGTCATTTTATACTATTTTACAGCTCTTTGGAATGCCACTGATCACTCTCTGGGGTCAGCAAGCTGTGACAGGCACGAGTCACATACAAAAGTCAGTGTACAGGAGGCAGTGGCTGCTGTGGCTGGCAGGAAGCTGCTGAAAAGTGACATAAAAGCCTGAGTGCCTAAAGCAAAGGGTGTCAGTAGCTGTGATTTGTCAAATCGACTGTGAGGGCTGTCTCCCTTGGCAAGAAATGCAGTGGCCAGGCCTCCATCTGTGTTC